GTACATGTATGGTACGCATGGTATAACGAGGCCACCATTATATGGGATGATGTTAAATGAATCATTAGAATAGACCTACTCTTTTAAGAAAACTAGCACATGAGTCAAAGTGGACTACATGTGCATTATAAAGTGGAGTGAGAGGGGCCTCCCAAGTGGCACAGTGGTCTAAGGCACTGCATCGCAGCGCTAGAGGCGTCACTACAGACGTGGGTTCGATCCCTGTATCACAACCGGCCGTGATCGGGAGTCCCATAGGGCAGCGCACAATTGGCCCAGTGTTGTCCGGGTTAGGGGAGGGTTTGGCCGGGAGGGCTTTACTTGGCTCATCGTGCTCTAGTGACTCCTTGTGGCGGCCGGGCGCCTGTAGGCTGACCTCGGTCATCAGTTGAACGGTGTAGGCCCTGTATATGGATCAATGTGTTTAAGTATCATAAGTACATGTAATTGCTAAAATATACTTAAGTATCAAAAGTAGAAACGGAGGGGTTTTTGATGGCCAAAAAGTGGAAAATCCTTGACTGGCCGAGTCAATCACCAGATCTGAATCCAATTGAACATGCATTTTACATGCTGAAGAGGAGACTGAAGGCAATAAGTCCTTGAAACAAGCAGGAACTGAAGATGGCTGCAGTACAGGCCTGGCAGAGCATCACCAGAGAAGATACCCAGCGTCTGGTGATGTCGATGCATCGCAGACTTCAAGCAGTCATTGCATGCAAAGGATATGCGACCAAATATTAACAATGATTACTTTATTCTACATTATGTTAAACCGTCCAATGTTTTTTTATGCCCGAAAATGGGGAGGACCATGTACAAAAGCTTCTATAATTTCTAAACGGTTCATCCGATATGTATGAAAATACCCTCAAATTAAAGCTGACAGTCTGCACTTCACCCTCATTGTCATTGTATCCTTTCAAACTCAAAATGCTAGAGTACAGAACCAAAATAACAAAAACATGGTCACTGTCCAATGAATTATGGAGCTCACTGTATATACGAATAATAGCCAATGATGGGCCCTTCTGGTAGTCAGAGTCTCCCATCCAACAGAACTTTATAAGAGACAATGATGCATACGGAAATTATCACCAGTGATAAAACACAAGGATGAGTGGTAGACTGAATCTAGAGGTTTCACACATAGGCTACCGCGTGCATGTAGATTGAGTCGCCATAGTCAATTACTGGGAGGAGTGTTGCTTGAACAATATTCCTATTTTCTATCGGAAACTAATTTTTACTCACAACTTTTTAGTCAGCTTATCAATGTGTGTTTTAAAGGACAGCTTATCATCAATCCAAATACCTAGATACTTATAATTGGGGACTAGCTCAATTTGGGCTCCTCTCATGGTACAGATACACAGGTATCTAGGATACATTTTATGAGACCTGGAGAAAAACATAAACTTTGTTTTATCAACATTTAGCACTAATTTAAGAATGGTGAGCGATTATTGAATTGAATCAAAACCAAGCTGATTGTCGTGAATGGCCTGTTACACTGAGGGGGCACAGGAATAAATAACTGTGTCATCCGTATAGAGATGTAAGCCCCAGTTATTATTATTCAAGGACAAACTGACATTATGAATGCAATTAGTGAACAGTAAAGGACCTAGTATTGAGCCTTGTGGGACCTACTCCTTGAAAGCGGCAGTTCTAGCCTTTAGCTCAGTGCGGATGTTGCCTGTAATCTACGGCTTCTGGTTGGGATATGTATGTACGGTCACTGTGGGGACGACGTCGTCAATGCACTTATTAATGAAGCCGGTGACTGATGTGGTAAACTCCTCAATGCCATCAGATAAATCCTGGAACATATTCCAGTCTGTGCTAGAGAAACAGTCCTGTAGCTTAACATCCGCTTCATCGGACCACTTCTGTATTTAGCGCGTCATTGGTACTTCTTGTTTCAGTTTTTGCTTGTAAACAAGAATCAGGAGGATAGAGTTATGGTCAGATTTGCCAAATGGAGGGCGAGGGAGAGCTTTGTATGCGTTTCTGTGTGTGGAGTAAAGGTGATCTACAGTTTTGTCTCTTGTAGTTGCAAAGGTGACATGCTGGTAGGAATGAGGTAAAACTGATTTCAGTTTTCCTGCATTAATATCACCGGCCACTAGGTGCTCTGGATGAGCATTTTCTTGTTTGCTTATGGCCCTATACAGCTCGTTGAGTGTGGTCTTAGTTCCAGCATCGGTTTGTGATGGTAAATAGACAGCTACGAAAAATATAGATAAAAACAGAATAATATAGATAAGAATATAGATAAAAATACAGAAGATAGCCTTATTTGGTAAAATACCAAGTCTATATTATGGCAAGAACAGCTCAAATAAGCAAAGAGAAATGACAATCCATCATTACTTTAAGAAATGAAGGTTAGTCAATACGGATTATTTCAAGAACTTTGAACGTTTCTTCAAGTGCAGTCGCAAAAACCATCAAGCGCTATGATGAAACTGGCTCTCATGAGGACCACCACAGGAATGGAAGACCCAGAGTTACCTCTGCTGCAGAGGATAAATTCATTAGAGTTACCAGACTCAGAAATTGCAGCCCAAATAAATGCTTCACAGAGATTGAGATGGTTTGGGATGAGTCGGACAGCAGAGTAAAGGAAAAGCAGCCAACAAGAGCTAAGCATAAGTGGGAACTCCTTCAAGACTGTTGGAAAAGCATTCCAGGTGAAGCTGGTTGAGAGAATGCCAAGAGTGTGCAAAGTGTCATAAAGGAAAAGGGTGGCTATTTGAAGAATCTCAAATATAAAATATATTTTCATTTGGGCTCCCGAGTGGCGCAGCGGTCTAAGGCACTGCATCTCAGTGCTTGAGGTGTCACTACAGACACCCTCGTTCGATTCCAGGCTGTATTACAACCGGCCATGATTGGGAGTCCCACAGGGCAGCGCACAATTGGCCCAGCGTCATCCGGGTTTGGCCGGTGTAGGCCGTCATTGTAAATAAGAATTTGTTCTTAACTGACTTGCCTAGTTAAATGAAGGTAAAATAAAAAAATATGTATTTTTGGTTACTACATGATTCCATATGTGTTATTTCATAGTTTTGATGTCTTCACTATTATTCTACAATGTAGAAAATAGTAAAAATTAAGAAAAACCCTCGAATGAATAGGTGTGTCCAAACTTTTGACTGGTACTGTATATTATCCATGTCCTTGTTCAGCCACGATGCTGAGAAACAGAGGATATTACAGTTCTTCAGGTCCCGTTGATTGGATAGTCTCAAACGGAGCTCGTCCAGTTTGTTCTTCAGTGATTGTACTAGAACATAGGGTAGAGGCGGATTGTCTATTCGCCGACGTAGTTTCATCAGGGTGCCCGCACGTCGGCCTCTCTTTTACGCCGTCTTTTCCTTTTCCGAGTCTCTGGGATTAGGGCCTGGTCCGGGGAGAACAGTAAGTCTTGCCCCGCCGACTCATTCAAGTAGAAATCTTCATCCAAATCGAGGTTAGTGATCTCTGTTCTGATGTCTTTTCTGTCATATGAAACGATTGTGGAAACATTATGTACAAAAAAAGTTAAGATCAGTGCAAAAAAACACAAAATAGCTGAATTGGTCAAGAGCCTGTAAAACGGCAGCTATCCATTGCAGCGCCATATTGCGGTACTCCAATTTACACGAGACTAATTTGTGATAACAATAAACAACACTATCATATATCTCAAAATGTGCCACCCTATCCACAAGGTTATCAAAACAATTCCACCAAATCAACATTATCACACCATCATGTTGTGACAAGAGAGGGGGCTGCCGGTTCAGTGGAACTCCTTAGATGTGTGTCAGCCCTGGTGTATGTGGTGAGGTCTGGTTTGTGTGTGTGTAAGGTGGTCCCCAACAGGAACAATAGATGAGTGTGTCAGTCAGCCCTCGTGTGTGTAGTGAGCTCAGCTTTTCTTGAAGCTGTGGTGTAATCACTGAGTCTTGTCCTGGACAGACCCAAGGGACGCCAAAATCAGCTGGAAGTCACAGAGCAGAGGAGAGGCAGCCCAGAACAGTCTCTCATTCTCCCCAACACTACCCCTTCTACACCACACTGCAAAGATTCAGCGCAAAGCACTCCCTCATCCCACCACTACCCCCTCTCTAGACCCCCCTCTTCACCCTTCGACCCCTCTCCACCCTACAGAGGCAGCACAAAGCACTACCTCACCCTTTACTAACCCCTCTCCACCCCACTGGAGCCGCACAATCACCCAGCCAGACTGGAGGACTTTGAGGCTGTAGTATAGAAGGTAATTACCTCCAGGCCTGGGGCTAGAAGGAGATCCCCCAGGGACTATATGGGATTCCTGTTGTGTGTCAGGCTGTGAGGGGGAGCAGCTTTATTAAACAAGTAATGCAAGAGGACCGGCCAAGCTCTCGGATTGAAAATGTGTGTATGTTGGCCAGGGGAAAAGAAGTCTCTTTCGTTTTGTTACCGCCCTTTAGCGTCAGCTTTTCTCCTCATAGACAGCTGAAGGAATATATCACAAATCTACCCCTACAGAGGCATACAAAACAGGCGCCAATGCAAGGTTTGCCTTTACCTCAGAGTGCAGAGGACAAAAGTAAATGTCAGTAAGTAGCCTAATAATGGTGATTTCCCAAGACTGATGTACAATTCTATGCAGAGTCAACGCCAGTGTCTGAGTTCCCACATTATCAGAGTCTTACATGTTCAAGGGTGTGAGGGTGGGTGGTTTCAGATGTAGGCTACAGAATGCTGGTGGTGTACAAAAGGTTTCCATAACTGTTATCTGACTCCCTATCTAACCATTTCCCTCACATTCCAGAGAGGCAGCATCAGACGGTTCCCCTCAGAGTGGCTGGCAGTTACTGTAAAGCATATCATGTGGCCAATACTGCTTATCAGGATTTCATGCTTGTCTTCTGATGTAGAACATTTTGATGGCGTTTATTAGCTGCAGCAGGAATGACAGTGAAGCACGTTTTCAGAACGCTAATAATGCGCAAAGGGTCCTTACCTGAAGTGTCCCACAGACGGAGTTCAACTCTCTGCATATCGATTTCAAAACTGGCCGTGTAGTTCTCAAACACCGTGGGAATGTAGCCCTACAAATGAAATACAATATCCATTATCAACATCATTGCAGTTTAGACATAGAAACGTAGCAAGCTGATTGATAACGCGCAATAATCATGCCAATAAATAGAAAAATCTGTCACATAAAACTCACCTCTGGAAAGGAATCTTTTGCAAACACATTTAGTAGAGCGGTTTTCCCACATTCACTATCCCCAACGACCACTATTTTACATTTTACGCTTGGATTTAAATCCATTTTGGAACGGTGTGTGATATTGCTCTCCTTCTTTCCATAAAAGAGAAATGATCCTAAAGAAGAATGAAGTCGGGATCAATAGAACATCTGAATGGTGTATGAATCCCCAAAATTATGAGCGGACTGCATCAGTCAGCTGCACAGAATAATATATCCTGAAATAAGAACGTCGCGACGGGACAGTAACTTAAAAATGGTCAAAATAGAAAACGTTTAAATAATTAAAATGATCCCTTAGCAGAGTGAAAGATTGTGACATCCAAGGATCGTAGCCAGTCCTGTATACGAGAGCTCCAAACCAGTTATGAGACGCAACGGTCCACAGCTAGGGTAAGTTTGAAGGAGTTTGAGGAGAGTCATTCCTATGTCAAGGCAAGGAGGGCGTTGCGCAAGTATAGTATTTAGACCATTATGCATCAGACCAAGTCACTCATGTATTTCAGATGAGAAGCTAACGCATATGCAGTGGTGGAAAAAGTACGCAATTGTCATACTTGAGTAAAAGTAAAGATACCTTAATAGAAAATGACTATATAGTATGAAAAGTAAATGTAATTGCTAAAATATACTTAAGTATCAAAAGTAAAAGTAAAAGTATAAATTATTTCAAATTCCTTATATTAAGCAAACCAGATGGCACCATATTTTTTATTTAAGGATAGACATTGGCACACTCCAACACTCAGACATAATTTACAAACGAAGCATTTGTGTTTAGTGAGTCTGCCAGATCAGAGGCAGTAGAGATGACCAGGGATGTTCTCTTAATACAGTATGTGTGAATTGGACCCTTTTCCTGTCCTGCTAAGCATTACAAATGTAACTAGTGCTTTTGGGTGTCAGGGAAAATGTATGGAGTAGAAAGTACATTATTGCCTTTAGGAATGTAGTGAAGTAAAAGTAAAAGTTGTCAAAAAAATTTAATAGTAAAGTGATGTACAGATACACAAAAAACGACTTAAGTAGTACTTTATAGTATTTTTACTTAAGTACTTTACACCACTGTGCAGATGTTTGGTTGACAGTGAATTACACAATTTCTGATAAATAATATTAAAGGACCTATTGTAATTATAATGTTATAGCCATAAATGTTTTTTGTTGTTGTTTTTTTTACAGTAAATCAGAGGATAATCTAAAATGTACAAAAATAATATACATTTGGCATCCTTTGGAACTTAGAATGTATTCCCATTCGTTTTATTGGTGTTCATTGGACTTTGAATGAACTGTCTGGATAAGCCTCAATACTTTTCTTTCTTTGCTTTTTATGTTTATAACCACTTTAAAGGGGTCTAAGGGTTGAAACTAGTGCACTCTCTTTCACTGACTGTAGTACTGAAGCCACTGTGATGTTTGTGCAATGCATATCAATAACCTTGAGCGTGATGAATACAGCTGAAGTTGTGCATGCCTGCTGAGAGGGGAGCGCCTCCTTCACTATGCTGCCATATTGTCCTGAAGCAACTCAACAGGAGACTGAGCAGACTCATCTTAATCCTGACCTGAAAGGAATTATAATCAGCGCTGGGGTATCTGTGGTAGCAGGTATTAAAGATGATATCTCTCCTTGAAGAAGTGTAACATGTAGGGCAAGTACAGTAGACTACACTGTGTACAGTAGCTACATAATGCTATGTTATGAGTCCTTTATGATAATACAGTATCTCGAAATAACTAATGTCACTCAATAACATTATTCTGGTGTGGTGATGGAGTGTTGCTGTATTGACAAATGTGATAAGGGCCCAATGCTGTAATAGTTTCTTTCTATGTTGGGCTTCACTGTAAAGAAACCTGGTCTTGCATAGTAATGGAGTGACTTCAAGCATAGTCAGCTAGATAAGAGTGAGTTAAACAGTTTCTTCCTCTGAGGAAAGCTATGACTCAAGCTTCTTTCACACTCTGATTGCTTTTCTGTTAGGCTACATAGTAGGCCTTGCCAAAAATCAGCACTTTTCGATTACAGTTTCTTCTAGTTTCTTGCAGTTTCTTCCTCCCCGAGAGCCTCCAATGTGGTCAGAACACATTCTGTGGCACACACAGGGATTCTGACACAGAACAGCCTTTGTTGTCATCTGTAACCCAGCTAGAAGGTAGCTGTTTGAGACAGCATCTCGGGGTGATTGTAGCCTACCAAGATAGAGGACACCATTGTAGTTTACAGAATCAATAGCTAATTCTCTCGCTCTCTCTCTCTCACTCTCTCTCTCTCTAATAGTGTCCTAAAAGTGCAGTTTTCCCCCTAAAAGTTACTTATTTCCCCTCATTAAAATGCAAATCAATTTATAACATTTCTGACATGCGTTTTTTTAGGATTTTTTTGTTGTTATTCTGTCTCTCACTGTTCAAATAACCCTACCATTAAAATTATAGACTGATCATGTCTTTGTCAGTGGGAAAACGTACAAAATCAGCAGGGGATCAAATACTTTTTTCCCTCACTGTAAATATACAAAAGTATGTGGACACCCCTTCAAATTAATTTCAGCCACACCCGTTGCTGACAGATGTATAAAATCGAGCACACAGCCATGCAATCTCCATAGACAGACATTGGCAGTAGAATGGCCTTACCGAAGAGCTCAGTGACTTTCAACGTGGCACCCTCATGGGATGCCACCTTTTCAACAAGTCAGTTCATGAAATTGCTGCCCTGCTAGAGCTGCCCAGGTCAACACTAAGTGCAGTTATTGTGAAGTGGAAACATCTAGGAGCAACAATGGCTCAGCCGCGAAGTGGTAGGCCGCACAAGCTCACAGAACGGGACCGGCGAGTGCTGAAGTGCGTAGCAATCGTCTGTCCTCTGTTGCAACACTCCCTACCGAGTTCCAAACTGCCTCTGTCAGCACAAGAACTGTTCGTCGGGAGCTTCATGAAATGGGTTTCCATGGGCGATAAGCCGCACACAACATTTACATTACATTTTAGTCATTTAGCAGACGCTCTTATCCAGAGCGACTTACAGGAGCAATTAGGGTTAAGTGCCTTGCTCAAGGGCACATTTACGTCATTTAGCAGACGCTCTTATCCAGAGCGACTCACCAATTGGTGCGTTCACCCTATAGCCAGTGGGATAACCACTTTACAATTTTTTTTTTTTGGGGGGGGGGGGGGGGGGGGGGGGGGTAGAAGGATTACTTTATCCTATCCCAGGTATTCCAATTCCAAGCGTCGGCTGGAGTGGTGTAAAGCTTGCCACAATTGGACTCTGGAGCAGTGGAAACACGTTCTCTGGAGTGATTAATCACGCTTCACCGTCTGCAGTCCAATGGACGAATCTGGGTTTGGCGGATGCCAGGAGAACGCTACCTGCCCCAATACATAGTGCCAACTGTAAAGTTTGGTGGAGGAGGAATAATGGTCTGGGGCTGTTTTCCATGGTTTGGGCTAGGCCCCTTAGTTCCAGTGAAGGGGAAATATTTACGCTACAGCATACAATGACATTCTAGACGATTCTGTGCTTCTAACTTTGTGGCAACAGTTTGAGGAAGGCCCTTTCCTGTTTCAGCATGACAATGCCCCCATGCACAAAGCGAGGTCCATAGTGAAATGGTTTGTAGAGATCGGTGAGAAAGAACTTGACTGGCCTGTACAAAGCCCTGACCTCAACCCCATCGAACACCTTTGGGATGAATTGGAACGCCGACTGCGAGCCAGGCCTAATCACCCAACATCAGTGCCTGACCTGACTAATGCTCTTGTGGCTGAATGGAAGCAAGAACCCGTAGTAATGTTCCAACATCTAGTGGAAAGCCTTCCCAGAAGAGTGAGGGCTGTTATAGCAGCAAAGGGGTAACCAACTCCATATTAATGCCCATGATTGTAGAATGAGATGTTCGACGAGAAGGCGTCTACATACTTTTGGTCATGTAGTGTATCTCTCGTGAAATATAGAAAACAACCGACACTCACTGACCTTTTGACCTTGGCTCTTATAGAGTTCATGCTTTCAGTTAATACTTAGGTTCTACACTGTAGATATGAATGTAAGCCTCTGCTGTCCACAAGTTCACTGGCATCTATCTTTGGCCCAGACAACAGGTCTCACAAGATGGACTCCCTTGCTTTCTCAGCTGGAAGTTTGGACTTGGGGTGAATGTTTTCCAGGATTTGGGGCTAAACTGTTCTCCAAGTAAGTCATTAATTTCACGACTGTGAATTTTTTTATTCTTCACAGAACTGAAAAATGACACATCTTCTTCTCATCAATGCTAATGACTTTCAAATGTATGCTTTGTAAACAACACAAATTATCTAGGGTTGTGTTGTTGCCAGAGCTGCACATCTCTCTTAAAAAACAAACACCTCACACTCCAGCCATAACTCTGACTGGGAATGCTCCAGTGGCTGAGCTTGACCCAAGCCAGCAGCCTCCTTGTATTTACATGAGCCAATAACTCTCCTGTATAGTCTATCAATGGTGAGCACCAGCACCAGGCCTGTTCTGGATAGTTTAGAAAGATCCATGACCTGTCGAGTGGGAACCCACTGGGCACAGACGTCAATTCAACGTATATTCCATGTTGGACGTAATTTGGTTGAAATTATGTGGAAACAACATTGATTCAACCAGTGTGTGTCCAGTGAGAAGTCAGTAAAAAAAAAAACTGCCATTGGGATTACACAACAAAACACCAGGCCCTGAAACTCAAATCATTCTCTCTTTACTTCACTTGCTGTAAACCCCACAGTGCACCGTCATCATGTCAAAGTTTAGGAAAGACTCACTACCACATGAAAAAACACTAGTTTATTATTGTATAAATACTATATATATATTACTATATATGCTGTATATACTATAGTATTCACTGTAGTGTTTTTGCTGAATTTACTGTAATATACTGTAGTAGTTTACTGTATTGTTTTTCAAATCAAATCAAATTTTATTTGTCACAAGCACCGAATACAATGGGTGTAGACTTAACCATGAAGAGACCTTTCCAATAATGCAGAGTTTAAAAAATATATATATTAAAAAATATATATAGTAACAC